ATATATATATATATATATATGTGCTGACATTGTATATATATATATATATATGTTTGCAACCATAGATAAGATAACTAAGAGTGACTGTTTGATTATGGTTGCAAATGGTCTTAATTGATTAATTATCATATATATACTAGTCAAGACAGTAAGCAACAGATTGTATATATATATATACATCTATTAAATTTTTTTGAAAAGAAAAAATAATAATGCATACATGTCGAAGAAGATCTGGAGTCGAGAATCGAAGCTCTGATCAGTGATTTGAGACCAATACTCGTAAAGCTCATCTCTGCTGATCTTGTCAACATTCAACCTTCGTCGTCTGCTCAAAGCATCGAACAATTCCAACGCAAATTGCTTTGAATCATCTCTCATTCCTACAACCAGAAATGATAAAAATTGAGCTTGAAAAGGTTTAGACACGCATTGAAATTGCACCATTCGGGTCAAAAAAATCAACTCATCTGAAGATGAATAGACGTAGGGTATTTTGGTCCAAGAAATTGATAAAATGCGCGGGTATTTTGGTTAGGGACCTGAGGCAGTATTACATTTTTTAATGTCCTTTATGCAGAAAATTGTTATTGTTAGGGAGCTTAAAAAAAAAAACCCTAATAAAAAAGTTTAAATTTTTAATTATCAAAATTTATTATTGATTTATAATTTTTTTTTACACTGATTTATAATTTTTTTTTTCTAAACCTACACTTAATGGTGTGCGTGATGTGGTTCGGACGATTTGATAGTAAAATTATAAATCAAATCATACATGGTGGATTGACAAATGATCAAACCACGGTATTTCAATTTGTTAGTTGATTGAAGAATATTCTTAAACAATTATCAAATATTTACATAATATATAATACTAATTTACATAATACTTTTTATATATATAACACAAATGAATTTTATATAATATTTTTATATATATAACTATTAATTTGAAATAAATTTTATAATTTAAATCTTTTTCACGCTTATGTTTATTTTGATATTTTATAAAAAAAAATTATATATATATATATATATATTGATTAAAGTGAAAAAAGTGATTTGGAAAGTAGGTTTGGGGTTAAAATAGTTACAAAAAAATAAAATAGGCTTTTTAGTTTCAATAAGATAAAATATCACATCCAACCTATATTCATTACATTCTTTCTCTCACAAAAAAATCAAAAACTCTTCTCAAATCAAACTTTTTAATCCCAAACTAAAATAATTAAAAAAATCCAAAAAATCAAAATGCCAATTCACTTTCCAAACCAAGCCAAAAACTAGTTATAAATTTGAAATTTAATACAGGAGGATAGATTGGTTCAAATTAGTACAAAATTAAATTATAAATTTTAAAATTTAATATAGATTGGTATAAATTAGTACAAATCGATACAATTTTCAGAGATCATGTGTTATTTTGGATTGCGCTATCTACACTCGTAATTATTTTACAATAAGATTGAACTGTCGAACACATTAAAGCTGAACCGGACTGCTAGTTGTTGCCCTAGCATTAAGCAATCGTGGTGCTGCTGCTGTTGGGAAAGAGCTGTTGTTGGGAAATAGTCGAATTGTTCGAGGGATTTAGAGGCGAGTCAATACATCAATTGCTCCACGATTTTTCGATTTTTCGATCACCTTCCCAGGCGAGGTCGGTCTCTCTCTCTCTCTCTCTCATGCAATGTATTTTGTGTATATAGATAGATAGATAGACAATTTTATTGATAACCCTAATTGTTGTTATGTTTTTGATCTTCCTGTTTTTTTGTTTGGTTGTAGCATAGTATCTGGATGGTCTTGGGCTGGATTTTATTTTTGTTGTAAAAATTTACATGAAATTGGAGCATGATGATGATGGGCGCCAGCAGCTATTCTTCGGGAAAAGGAGCCATGGATTCAAATGGGTCTATCTACATTTCTAACTTGCCCCCTGGCACTGATGAACAAATGCTTGCTGAATACTTTGGCACTATTGGATTGCTTAAGGTAGTGGATTCTAATAATAATAGTATACATGTCTTTTCAATTAATTCATCTTTTATCTTATCTTATCTTATCTTATCAATAATAAATGGGTAATTCTATTTACACAAAAATATATATAACACCATTTATATCATTTGGATATGTTCAGATATAAACTCATGAACAAAAATTAATTGTTTGGATACAAACCGGGGAACGGAATATATATTTGAACAAGTTATTTTTGTTCTTCGGTTTATGTTTGAACATTTGCCTTTTTTTTGAAATTTTATGTCTGAACAAAATAAATGGTGTGCACTGAGATTTCTTGTGGTATGTGAATAGAATTTCTCATAATATATATAAATCAGCAGTTGCTTGCTAACAAGAGTTTTATGCCTATTTTGTGGTTTATTTGATTCTAAATAAATAGAAAGACAAACGAACTGGTAGACCGAAAATATGGTTATACCGAGACAAGATGACAAATGAGCCAAAGGGAGATGCTACAGTGACATATGAGGATCCTCATGCTGCACTAGCTGCTGTTGAATGGTTTAACAACAAGGATTTTCATGGAACAACGATTGGGGTTTTTATAGCTGAGTCAAAGAGCAAAGATGATCACTCGTATAACTCAGGAAACCATGACCATGTTGGAGATCCAAGTTTGGCTAGTGATTTTGGTGGTGAGCTGGAGGAAAGTGCTACCGAGGATATGAATGGAGGCGGAGCTGGTGGCGGAAGAGGTAGAGGACGGGGTGATGCTTCAGGGAAAGCATGGCAACAAGAGGGAGACTGGCCGTGTCCTAATACAAGGTCTGTGATGTGATATTGGTGAGCAGCTCTTTCTTGTTCTTTTTCTGACATAGTACTAGTACTAGTATATTTTAGTTTATTACGTTCATTATGCAAATATGGCTTCCTTATGTTTTATCTTGGCAGCAGTTGTTCGAATGTAAACTTTGCGTTTCGTGGTGTGTGCAACCGTTGTGGAAGTGCGCGACCTGCTGGTGGCTCTGGCAGTGGAGCTGGTGCAGGTGCTGGTGGTCGGGGAAGGGGCCGAGGTAACCCTGATTCAGTTGGCCAAGGTCGACCAATTGGTGCTGGTCCACCATGTCTTTTTGGTCCAAATGATTGGCCTTGCCCTATGTAAGACAATTCCTTGTACATCTAAGATTTATATTTTGTTTTTGTGCTTGTGCTTGTGCAACAGCTTTTGAACGATATTTGTCAACTGATCTACACAGTAATATTTTCAAAAAATAGGTATTTTAATTTTTTTTTCTATTAATTTTTTATCCTTTTATTGTTTGAAATTGTCGTGTTAAAAATTATAGCTGAATTCCCGTCTCCTGTACTTTTTACTATGTCAAGCATGGTTTCCTGAAGTCTTAGAAACCTAATTTTACCTGTTTTTTTGTTTAAGTTAGAACTTGTTCAGATTACACGTAGCTTGGGCTAGCCCTTTTCTCTGCTTGTAACCCTTCAAGATCCACTTTCAAAAGCCCCCGTTTTGTATTTTCCCCATTAGGATTGTACTACTATGTCGTTTTTAGTTTCAACTCGTCCTTCTACTGTGGAACAAGGGCTGGCTTCCTTTCTGAGAATCCAAGGCTCGTGAAGCTGGAGGTTAACTGCAACTAGTTGTCATCAAAAAAGGGGGAAAAGGAGCGAAAAGAGGTTGCATGCTGCTGGTTCCCAGATACCAAAACGCCTCTTTATTCTTCTTTGTTCTTCTTCTAGTTTTCTCATTCTTGGCGCTACATCACAAGCACTTAATAGAGAAAAAAAAGCTTGGATCAAGTTTCCAGTTTGTCAAGGGAAATAAGATTGATGTAACTTTAGTGCATGATATAATTACTCGCTGCCAAGCATCAGTCACCATGTAATTGGAAACCAGAAAGTGGGGCAGTATCACTTTGTTTTCTCCATTTTCTGACTATGGTAGGATATCTTGATGAAGCTGCTTTTCATATCCAGCATGTGGCAAACACAACAGGGAGCTTCTACATCGAAAAGGGAACTAGAAATCATTTACAACAACACAACCAAACACAAAATAAAAAACATCCAAAAGAGGAGCATTGAAAGGTTGCATGGCAAAGGGGATCACAATCCCAAACAAATATCTCAATCTTTAATAATCAATATTCAAAATCTTAGTTTAGTCTCCAAAACTATTATACGAAGCGATATATATATGCATCCTAGAAAACCCTAATTAAATCCCAAGTTACCAAACATAAAACCTTACAAATAATATAATAAAAACTAGCAATAAACCAAATAAGGAAACGTAAGGAAAATGGAATAAAATTCGTATATTCTTCAATTTATTGTTAACTAATGACTTTGCTGAGCTGTCTCCTGTCAGCTTGCTTTATTGTCAAAAAACTTCCGACTTCGGCCTACAAACCAATAAGCTAATTGGCTTCAGAAGTTGAACTCTGGAGAGAGGATAATGCTGATCGGGAAATAAATAGAACTGAATGGTCAGTTGCCTCACATCAAAATTAAGGGATATGTATATTGTCCCAAATTAAGCTTAATTTTCTTATGCTTTTTAGATACAAGTTTTGCATTATCTTTTCCTTTTGAAATATTACTTATTTTGAAACTGGTTTCTTCATTCAAAACCATTCTCATCCAATTTTGTTTTGGTATTTTTATGGGTCGATATATGCCTAGTATGATCATTGTTTTTAGATCATACTTGTTTTACCACATATTCTTGTTAATGTAGTTGGAGTAGGCTATTATATGGTTGACATATTGCAATGAAGTCATAGCAGATAATAAAATTGAGTTTTCATCTATTAAATTCTCTCTAGCTTGTATATTAAAAGAGTGTAGCAGCAAAAGGCTTTTTCATGTTGTGTTGAGATGAATCTTATGGTCTTGCTGATTCTGACAAGCACTGGGTACATAAGACAAACCACATGCAATACATTATTGACTTACTGTTAATGTTTATTCTTCCTTATCCCTTCAACTTGTCACTGCAGGTGTGGCAATATTAACTGGGCAAAACGCACAAAATGCAACATATGTAACACTAACAAACCTGGTCACAATGAAGGCGGTGTGAGGTACTGCTTCCTGGCTTTATTGACATGTCAGTATGTAACTAGAAAATAAAACACTGATTGGCTAACAGTTGTCGTGATTTTTCGCCATGTTATTGCATGATATGATCCCCTCCCCCTTTCCTTTATTTCATTCAAGTATGTGCAGTGATTTTTCATTATTTTGGGGGCAATGAGAAAGGGTACATAAATGGTTAAGGCCTCTTAAGCTTTTAGCTATTCTGAACTTGGAATCTCATTCGACGAAAAATAATTGCTGACCTTCACTATCTATTTCCTTGTATGTTTTAGGAAGGGTTGTCAAATTATTTATTTTCTTACATTAATGTGTACCATTTGAGCATTGTATTTTTTTTACATGTTGTAGTTAACCTGTGTAATTTCGGGCTGAGCTTTAGATGAGAATAGGATATGCGCCAATACATGGCTATCTTGCCATGAGCTGTAAAAAGAGTCTCATAAATTCAAAATCATCACTGTGTAAACATGTTGTCTGTGTCAAGTATTACTTTGTAGTATTCTCTCTTACCCTTAAACCTTAATTTCTATATATTAGTGTTTTTGAAATTGTTGAGTTGCCATTCTAAATTAATGTTCAATTGTTGATTTTTGTTTCCCCTTATTTGCTTGTAATGGTTATAGGAAAACTTGTCTTCTACTTGTGCTAGTAAATCACAATTTGTGATGTTGATGAAAGCAAACAACTATTGTTTAATGGTTTGTGATTAATAAAATAATATTTTTTTATATTGAAAAAAGTTTAAATTACAGACAGATTGAGTAGTTTTTATTTTTATTTTTTATAATGTTGAATTTGTGTTAGTTTTTCATTACTTTTAGCTATTTGTGGGCGTAATATTCATATGCATAGAAAATAAAAATATATAATTTTTCTTTGTCGTATCTTGACGTGTCCCTTATCCATATTTTTTAGAAATCCTCATGTCCTGTGTCTGCTTGTATCCATGCTTTTTACTGTACAAGTGGTTGATGATGCGTGCCTTACATATGTCGCCCTAATGACGCACACATGTTAGCCTTCAAGGGACATGTATTTTGATGACATCATCAGTGTGCATTGCATATGTAACTGTTTCATCTGGGATGACTGATCTAAGAGTATAGAATAGAGGGTGACGGTGGTGGATAACAAAGATAGGAAAGAATGTTCCCTACCTAACCCCTATACTAAGAACTATAGGCTGGCATCTTCTATGTGCTTAAGTCGTGCAACGGAAGTCTATGCCGCATTCTTGAAGTACCACGTTAGTCAAATTGCGAGCCCCAATACTTGACAAAGACAAGTAATCTCATTTATTGTCGCAGTTGTGTACCTTGCCAAGTCCATCTCACTAACATGGTCATTGTACCACATCTTTCCTATATACCTAAGGCAAGAGGTAGGGGCATTATTTTAAATTGGGGTATCGGGACATGTAATGGTAACGGTCATAGTGTAACCATATCGGGAGTAGCGAGGTATACATATCTGGAATCAAGTGATGCTGTCATGATTTTTTTAAAATAATCAACAAGATCTCTAAAACTCAATGAGCACATGTTTAGAGAATTTTGATCTTAACTAATCACACTAAAAACAATTTATGACATCTATAGATATGTTTTGCTTATTGTATGAATAAAAAGGTTAATGTTAATAAAAGGAAAACTGGACCCTTTTGGCATGTAATATATCAATTTTAAGGCATCAATTAGTTGTCACCAAAATTAATATTTAGAACTTCAGCATTTCAGTTTTTACATCCTAAGTAACATTTTATTATATAAAACCTTCAATGCATTGCAAAATTGATGTCATAACTTAAATCCCACATTGAATGACAATGAAACTTGAGGGCACCAACCATAGTATATAAGCCACACGGATAGTGCACTATGTATGTTGAAATCTTCAGCATACATTACAGTACTCTGGCTTCTTATGGCTTGTTGGTTAGAGATAGATGTGATGAAGATCATGAAAGAAGAAAAAGGACAAATCTGGAATTTCATATGAAACATGTTTAGGGCATCAAAGATTGAAGTTTTGGAATAATTTTGAGTCTTTATTTGTATTTATTCTAATTATAGTTGTTTTTAGCACTAAGGGTATTAAGGTAATTTCAATCATTGTTGGACCTGGATTGTAGGGGTCATCCATGGATTTTATTGGGTCAAGTTATTACATGGGTCATTAAATATGGGTTTTATTATGTCTAGAATAATCTCGGTCCAAGTTTCCTATTTTGATGTTGGAGTAGAATTAGAGTCATCAAAGTTTCCTATTATGGTTAAAGTGGAATTGGAAGTCATAGTTGATCTAGGAATATTAGTAATTGTCAAATATTTTTGATTTCTAAATTTGAGTTCTAGTCCTTATTGTATTAGGAGCGTCTTTAGCCTATAAATATGTGTAATTTCAATTATTCAATAGGAGGGCCTGGTGCTTGGACCCTTTGGCGTTGATGTGCAGCATTTGGAGGGAGTGCAATAGGCAAACTTGACAGAGTTGAGCCTACTATTTTTGTTTAGAAGAGTAGAATTTTGGCCCTTTTGTGTAGTTGGTTCTCGGGTGGAGTTGAGCCATCGTTGGATCATATTTTGGATCTTATGGAGCATTTAGATTAGTTTGATGAATAGGTGTTTTTTGTGTTTTTTCTTTGTATACAATCTGCAACCTCTTGGTGCCTTTTTTGGATTTTGAATATAAAACATACTTGTTAAAAAATATATATAGACAATAATTAGTTTACCTAATGGTGCATAATTGAATAAAGATTTTATGAATTTTAGTTTTGTGACTAATTCAAAAGGTCATGCACTCATTTTAGTACTTTCACTTGAGTAACAATTTGTTATAATTTATTTTTAATTATTGAATTCTTCTCTGTTTTTTTCTTTTTCTTTTTTTGGGTAAGAAATTCTTGTTGTGCATATCACGGTTTAACATACCTCAGGTCAAACTCACTGAACATATTGTTGAAATAATTAGGGATAAAATTTAGTAATACAGTTATTTCCTTTTTACACAGAGGAGGTCGGGGGGGTGGTTACAAAGAACTTGATGAAGAGGAAATAGAGGAAACTAGAAGACGCAGGCGGGAGGCTGAAGAAGTAAGATCAACTTGAACTAACAGTAAGGGACTTGTGTTATTTGTTCAATATTTAACCATATGTTTTATCCAAACCCAGGATGATGGTGAACTATATGATGAGTTTGGCAATCTCAAGAAGAAATTTCGTGCTAAAACACAACAAGCTGAACCTGGTCAGGCAGTTCCTGGTGCTGGGCGTGCAGGATGGGAGGTTGAGGAACTAGGTATCATCCTATGTTCTTATTATTCTGAATGATTGTTTATCCTTTCTTAGGGAGTTTGGAACTTCCCAAAGTTTGTTTTTGGAGAATATCTGTCATGACCTCATCCCACCCGAAGGTGAGATAGAGTAGTGACTGGCTAGTTGTCATAGACTACCAAAGGCCAAAGTAAACAAACACATATTACTCCTGAAAAAATTGGGGAAAAACTGCTTTGGATAGTGGAAGTCACTAAATTATAAAAACTGTTTATTTCACAACATCTATTCAGAGCAAGTGCAAAAGTAAATGAAATGAAATATACATTATTCTTTATTATACCTTTCCATAATCAAACACAAGGAGTACATATTTTACAAGAGAAGAAGAATGTGTTCCTTCCAAAACGGAGCGTGTACAAAGCTTAATACTTCAGGTCTTTTATCCAACAACTATGCATACAAACTTTCTTGTCTATTCACATATGTACTCAGTGTCAAACATGAAACCATCATGCTTCATCACCATCACCAACATATATAGGCAAAAGGGGTAAGCCAAGGCCCAATGAATAGTGATGCAACAAAGCTATTTAGAGACAAGGATATCTCCAATCTAATTGATTACAAACAGTCCAAAAGCTTGAAAGCTAAATTAGCATTTGAAACATGTCTTATACATTTTCACTGGAAACACAATGATAACACTCATTCAGAAGATACAAAACAAAACTTAACTAGGTTGATTCCAATGATGTCAAACCACATTCTAAAGTGACATATACAATATTGATACTGTAAGAAAAATTGATAGAGAGAGAGAGAGCAAGTGAATAAATTGATGTATTATTGATTAATTGATATTTATATCTATTACAATGATTCATGATTCCTATATATAGAAGAGGGTGAGTGTGTAGTAGGTAAGGAGTAGGTGAAGTGGAGGTGGTAGTGGTGTAGTGGGTTAGGTTTAGTGGAATAGGTTTAAGTGGGTGAAGTAGGTGATAGGTTTTAACAGCCCCCCGCAAACTCAAGGGGGATAGGAACTAACCAACTTGAGTTTGGAGAGAAAATCTAGACCAAAGGATTTTGATTAAGTAGAGCACAGAGTCATATGTATAATGGTAAGTCCTGACACATTCGTCGTCGACATAACACCGTGAGACAACTACTCTCTAATAGAATTATTTCTATTGAATATGTGAAGTCTAAAGACAACATGATCCCTGAGTGCTATCCCTGAGTGCTGATTACAGTGATTACAGACAGACCCTAGTGTGCCTTTAGTGTGCCTTTCGGCGAATATAAAATGCTATCACTTAATATAATATGCTAACAATATCACTACTCACCTCTTTCCTTGCAAAAGATAGGTTAGTCCCACAAAGTAATTCAACCTACATAGGCATGAAAAACACAATACAATTGATGATTTTTACTCTAAATGCATCAAAATCAAACGTTTATAAATGTTGAAGGTCTTTTCCTTCAAAACAAGTCATTTTGGAGAATCTACACTTTTCGGAAATCTTATTTTCTCACTTATTTTTAAATTTGATGCCGAAAATAGATTATGCAGATCATAAGGTGTTCAAAATAAGCAAAAATAGAAAAATGATGGAAGCTATCCACAACCGCTCAAGTGTGGGTGATGTCTGCTCAAGTGGCCTGCTCCCCTATATTCTGCACCGTTTTGAACTATTTTTGGACTGTTTTGCTGTCCCAATTCAAAACTAACATTTTGAAGTCCAAAACACAATTTAAAGCATTCTAAAACCATAAAAACAAAGAAAAGTTCTTCGTTTCTCATTTCTACATGTAAATTCTAAGCTTTTCCAAACCAAATACTTCAATTCTATGAAAACAAGTTTCAAAACTCAAGTTCTTTAATTCTTGCATCAAAAATCATTTTCCAACAAAAATCAACCAATTAAAAGTTCATGAAGAGGTATATTAAGAACATAAATTTTATGTTAATTTCAAGTTAGAACCAAGTCTAGGTCAAGAATGAAGCTTTCCCCTTTCCTTTTCTTTCTTTTCTTCTTTTTTTCTCTGCATAATTTCTCTTTCTATTTTCTTTTGTTTTTATTTTATAAGAGGGACACTTGTCTCTCTTTTATGTATACTTGTCCTCCAAGCACGAGGTGGCACACTCCTAAGTGAGGTGTGTGGGGGTTGTCTCTACTAATGACACTATCATCCTAATGTCATTTTTTGCTACTGTTAGTTTTGTGATGTGGTTACTCAATTTATTGAACACTTTACTTGAGGGTTCGGTTCGCTTTGTTGATGTGATATTGTGAAGTGACAACAGGGGTGAGTGACAGAGAAAGAAGCAGAGACAGGGGAAGGGAGAGAGATGAGAGGGGAAGCAGCAAGAATCGAGATCGAGATGACAGGGATAGGCGCCGGAGCAAAAGTCGAGAGAGAGACAGGGGAAAAGATCGAGAACGAGACTACGATTATGGTCGAGACAGAGAATATGGGCGGGATAGAGACCGTGATCGGGACAGGAACAGGTATCGTCATTGACGATGGTACCGAAGTGTCTGAGTACTGTTTCAATTTTCAAACAATTCAAGTTTCCCAGATGTTTTTGGGTGGTGTGTGTCTCGGGGGAGGGATGGCGCTTGATTTGAACTGCAGTCTGCGATCGTTTTTAGTTTGGTTTCTCAGACTCTTCTTTCTGTATTTCATTTTTCTGGATAGTTTGATTGGTTTTGTCATTCAAGGTTTCTTGTTATCCGTAATGCTATATTGTTGTTGCAGGCTTGGGATGGAGAAGAGTAATTTTGTTTTTTGTTTTTTTAAGGGAAAAATTTGGTTATCTATCTGTGTACAAATTGAATTGATTCGACATGCCTCCATTATTTATTTCGGTGCATTTTGCTATTTGGATTTCCTTGAGTAGCTAGCTAGCTATTAAGATCTTGTTTGGTTCATGTATTTTGGTATGGATTTATAAAAAAAAAAAAATGGAAAAGAACTATAAATTATAGATGAATTACATTTTTCTGTTTCCTTTTCAAATTTATATACAAATTCATAAGTAAACACTGTAAGTCGGAGTTTTGCGAGGAAAAGGGTGCATCCTAGGGTTCTTAGCAAATTAGCAATAAATTTGTTAGTTCTACCTTGAAGGTAGGTAGGTAGGTAGTTTATAAATCTTACAAAATTTGTGAAGCATTGTTAAGGATTTTTGCATAGGGTTGATTTGTTGTTACACTTTAATATCCACACTCGTCATAAGTAAATAGAAAAGTATCAAGACAAACTGATGTGTATTTTGAAATCCAAAACAAGTGTAAATATTTACTCAAGCTCCTACATTTTCGTTTTACATGACATAAATTTTTTAGATAGTGTGAATATTTTTTAAAGAGTGAAGATTCAAACTAACTTTTGAACTTTTCAAAAATTTGTGCTAATATTTTATTAATTGAAAGTATGAATATTCATATATATATATAATTTACATACTTACTAGTAAATTTTCACTAATATATCTATATATATAGGGTGATTCTATGTACACAATTATTTTATCATTTTACACCCTTCATATGAGTTTTTTTTTTTTTTTTTTTTCTCAATTTTATCCATGTGTGAAATTGCCTTTGAAGACAAAACATTAAAATTAAATATATTTTGTTATCTTCTCACACCCCTCGGTCTTTAATCCCTACTTCTCTTTTTCCTTTCTTAATTTTTATTTTCTCTTACACATCTCTTTTCAAAAAGTAAGAATCATGATAGTTTGATCATTAAAGAAAACAACGGATGGAGAACGGTGGTGAAGAAACATCAAAAAAGTGAAATGGTGAGTTTTTTTTTTTTTTTTTTTGTAGGTTTTTGTTTCGTTTTTCTAGACTGATGTTCGACTTTTGTTCGGTGGTTCGAAATCAAACAAAATAAAATAGTCCGGTATTACATTGCCGAACAAAAAATATAAGTCTGATAATCAACTACCGAATAAAAGATACATTTCCGGTAACCCCAAATCAAATTTTTTTAATTTGTTCAGCTTCTCATTACCATGTATTTTCAGTTTCATTTTTTTATATTTTTTATTATACTTATACTCATTGCAACAACGCAAGTACTGCAATATTAGTGGACTTTAGTCATGAATTCATTACAGACGAGGTTTGTTAAATTTTTTTATAAATACGATTTTTTCTTATTTTTAATTTGATTCAGTTTTATTAATAATTTGACATATAAATGTATTTATTATCTTTAGATTTTTCGTAGTCGTGAAGCATTAATTAAATGGACTTCTGACGTTAGAAAGAAGACTAGATTTGTCATTTTTATAAAGACATCAGATGCGGGAGGCAATGACAGAAAACCAAGACTTACACTTGCTTGTAAAAGAGACGGTTACTACAGAGACAACATGAAGATCAAGAAGGAATGATTGAGGTTCACATGTTCTAAAAAGTGTGGATGTCTATTTCTATTAAAGGGGGAAAAACTACCTACAAATTACCAAGAAGAATTGTGATAACATGTTTGATTGATGGATACAAAGAATAACAGATTTTATGGATACTTTATGGGTATTCGTACACTTGATGTTTTTATGAATAATTTTATGGATACTTTTTATGTATGATTTTATGGATACGTGTTTGATTTATGAATTTTTTTATGGATGTTTTAAGGAAAGAGTAAATATTTCAATGTACAGCGACGGGGGCCTAGACAACTCTATTGTAGTTTGGCAACATGACACTGTTGGAAAAATATGGTTTTATAGACTTATTTTGGGCTAACTTTGAGCCTAAATTTGGATGGGGCCCACACGTCTTTTGGGGTGGGTCCGAAGAGGTAACGTGTTCCTTGCCGCATGGCAAGTCACACGGTGAAAACGGTTCCTCAAAACCATTTATGAGTGAATGGGAAGTTGACGTCGTTTTCGAGTTCGTGGAATGGACAAATTAAAGAATAAAATATGGGTTTCCTTACAAGGTTTGTCCCACATTGAAACTTTTAGAGAACTTGTGTATGTATATAAGCTCTAGGTGGCAACACTTGGGTTGGGCCCTAAGAGGCACCCCAAGTTTGTAGAAGGAAGGAGTTACAGACAAAGTGAATCTTGGCTTAAACCACCACACAAGCACGCACGTGCCATGCGACGTCCGGTTGAGCCGTGCAGTGTGGGGTTTGGGTCGGTTCTAATGTTAGTTTTTTGGACAAAATTCATTTGAATTTTTTCAAAAATTCTTATCGGAAATTAATTCAAAATTTGAATTCAAATTTTTTATCCATAATTGTGTCTCTTCCAGTCTAAAATTCCCAACAGATAAACTTTTTTTTTAACAGGTTTAAAACTGCCAGAAACTGCCAGCAGTTATACAAATTCAAACTATTGTAGATCTGTTCAAATTTGAATTGTATCTGGTCATTCAAATGTCATACCTGTTCGGTTCAAAATTGCATCTGTTCGGACAGATCTGTTTGGTTACCAATCTGCTATAAATACCAGGCCTTTCCAGCAGATTTCTACATCCTAAAAAAATCTGAAATTCTCTTGGTTCCCTCCTGGTTTTGCTCATTTGCATAAATTCTCTTTATACTAGTTTTTAGGAAAAATTAAGAAAGTACAGAACATAGGTTTTGTTCGTCGTACAAATTGTTTGGAGTACTACTACAATTTGTGTAGATCATTGTATTTTGGGAGATAGACGACACTTATACGTAAGCACCATAGCGGGACGAATCTGTCTTAAGGATAGAGTGTCACACACTCGACTTGATCTAAAAGTTGTATCGGTAATAAATTCTGTAAGTAATTTATTTTTATTTATTTGATTTGGTTTCATATTATTTATTTTACAGAGAAGATTGTTCCTTCAATCTTAAGACAGATTCGAATTATTCTGTTTATACATAATTTTTCTTTTGTTTCATTTTCTCTTTCTTCTTCTTACAGAAATTATTTTCTATGGTTTTACAAAATAATATTCTAGTTGGAAAAACAAATAGTAGTAATATACTGTTTATTTTCTTTGACAACTAGTAGTAATATACTAGTAGTCATTAACAATTTAGAATATTTATTTGTGAAATTGGTCAGAAATTAATTTTAGTTTTCAGGAATAATTTTTGAAGTGTTATAGAAATTTAATTTTTTGTGTGGAATTAATTTGTTTAAATAAAATTTTATTTTATTTTCAAATTAATTGAACATAAAAGTTACAATTCTTGTTTCTTTTATTTTTACAAAATTAAAATTCTGTGTTTATGGTTTAAATTTTCTGTGTAGTATAAAATTCTAAATCTAATTTTGTTTTATAATTTAGAATTCATGGCTACTGAAACTAATGCTCAAACAAGTACTGATATGGTGGTTGCAACTGCGCCAACCCCTCTTCCTGTTATGACTGTACCAGTCAATCACGATGAAAAGCCAGAGAAGTTGTTAGGAACTGATTTTAAAATATAGCAGCAGAAAATGTTGTTCTATCTTACTACTCTCGACCTGACACGTTTTCTCCGTGAGGATGCTCCTACTCTAAAAGAGGATGAACCAACCGGCAAGTGATTACTGCTGTCGATGCCTGGAAATATGCTGATTTTCTTTGCCGGAACTACATCTTGAACGGATTTGACAACACATTATACAACGTCTACTGTCACGACCCAAACCTGCCCCTCTAGGTTTAGCATCGTAACCTGCTAGTAATCCTTGGATTACCAAAGGCATATGAATAGAATAATGTATAATCAAGGGGCTGCGGAAGTAAATATACAAAATACAACGTCTATTGAGCTGTGCAGACATACATGGAACAAAATAATTTTAAACTTTATAAGCATACACATGACATCACATAAGTACAGTAATTATATGTCACCCCATATAAAAATAACCAAAAACAAACTGTTCATAAAACAAGAGAAAACAAAGTGTTGAACGTTCAAAAAGACATGGCCACATGACTTGGCTTGTTCCAGAACCTCCTCGGGAGACACAAAAGGTGGCTGACAAAACGGAATCCCAGGCCATTAACTCTAGCCTTGATCACGTGCCTAGTCACCTACATACATAATATAAATAGTGAGCGAAAACCCAGTAAATAATAACAAAGTAAAGGGTTTCTATGAATGATGCCCCATATCAACTCCAGAAGATAGATTCATATTTATTTCAGAAACAGAAACAGATCCATATTCATAATCATGTCCAAATCATACACAGAAATTACAGTTCATGCTAAATCATACGTGGTACATCCATTAGCGGTAATAGAACAGATACAGAACAGATGGTGGTTATGAGTAACCAGTTCCACAAAGGAACCTCGGGATCCGGGTACAGATAGCAGATTTACTGAGCTCCATGACGGAGCCTCCGGTATGGGTAACAGATGACAGATATAATAAGTTCCATAATGGAACCTCCGATACCGGGTAACAGCTAACAAATATCACATAATGCTAAGGATGCCACGAATACATGTCAGAATTCGGACAATCATTCATTATACAGAACATAATATTTCAAAAAACATATCTTATTTCATCATACAAGAAATAAATAAAGTTGAAGATAAGTTATTACTCACAATTGGCTTCGGGTGCAGACAGACAGAGCAAACTAATCAACGGTTTACGGCACATGACCTATATCAACACATAACAAATACACATTTGAAACACATGTTGGAATATATCTAACTCATTGTGTTCCGTTCTTAGTGTGTTTCTACATTTTACCCTCATTATTATGTCTTAATCTTGGCTTAGGAATGCCTAGGATGCAATGAGAATGCCAAAATGCATTGGCAAACACTTGGTCAAATTTCTGAAAACAGGGTTCCCACTCGAGCGTAGCTTTTTTCTCTCGAGCG